TCTATGTTAACACTGACTCTATGTTAATTTTCCAAAAGGTTTGTACAACCTGAAAATCAAGGATGGGAAGAACCCTAAAAAGCTGTTCCTACCATTCAGATGAGAAAGAGAATTGAAAAGAAGTTAACTAGTCACAGAGGGGAAAAGTTACATTTCTTGCACAGCAAAGTCTGTGGGCTGAGATTGGTAGTCCTACAAATTAGAAACAGTCTCAGGAGCAAATGTAAAGTTGCAACTGTTAGAAAGGCTGGAAAGTGAGGCCCGAGAAGGCCCGAGCTTGCTGGGGAAGAAAGTGGCACGAAGAGAGCAAATGTAAAGTTGCAACTGTTAGAAAGGCTGGAAGGTGAGGCCCGAGAAGCTACCAGAGCTTGTTGGGGAAGAAAGTGGCACGAAGAGATGAGGGTCCAAAGCAAGATAGATGCAAGAGGCGCCAAAAAAAAACAACTGGAAGAGGTAACAGACTGGTTGCTACTGGAGCGCCTAGTCTGAGAAGGCAGAATTAGAAGGTCGATTCAGGTGGGTGGGGTAAGCGGGGCGGAGGGGTCTGTGTTAGACTGTTGGGTTTCAGGAACTGCTTTAACATCAAAGAAGAGCTTTCCTGTGGCCACCAATGTGATCAAAGCATTCGGACAGCAACTTGGATGTTTTTAAATAATGTTCACTCTTACTTCATTGAACCCCCACATTTACTGTTGAGTGGTATTTTTAGGACCTTATAGTACTTTCACAGTAAAGCGGAAAAGACTGAGGCTCAGTGACATGAAGCTACGTGCCTGGAATCACAAAGCAGGCAAAGGATCACATTTCAAATCCCTGGTCGCTCCCCCTCGTTATGCTGCCCCCCCCCGCCCACACTTTTTATTTATTTATTTAGTTAGTAGAGTTGAGGTCTGGCAGTCAGTTCTTTTCCTTCCCTAAAACTGAATGAACGTTTTGGGAGCCATCCGCACAGTTCGGGTGTAGAATTGCTCTCAGGGGAGCGGATGCATTTCCCTAGCGTTGTGAGCCTCTAACTGTTTCTCGAACACCTTTTACCGTTATGCCTTTTGAGCGCGAAAAGTTTCTTCAAACAACAGGGGCTCTCGGGCGCCCCTCCGTCAGAACAATGCGCAGTACGGAGCTCAAGAACTACATTGCCCGAAATGCCGAGGGGCTAGAGAGGCGGATAGGCTTCGACCCCCAAATTCAAAGACCTAGTTTATCTACTCTACACCCAGATATGGTCACTTCTGTCCCCTTTCCCGCCAGAGACTTCCGTTCCCAGCTAGAACTTCCGATCCCACCCTTCTCCCTGTGGGAAAGGCTGGAAAACAAAAATTGAGAGGGCAGGGCGCATGCGCACACGGCACCGGGTTTGGGCCTGGAGGGAGCGGCCGGCACCAGGGCCCATCCCGCCTTGCGCGTGCGCAGACGATAAACCAGCGCCCCGGGACTGAGGCGCGGGTTTGGTGGCGCGTTTTAGCGAAGTCGCACGTGAACGGCAGGAGTGGCCGGAGCCCGGTGAGTGTGAGCGCAGACCGCGGCTCGGGGGCAGACCGGGGCGGGGAGGAGGCAGCCACAGCAGGCGGGGCCAAGGCGGAGCCGCAAGGCCCGGCCAGCACGACTGGGGAGGGGTCCAACGTCGCGCGGCCGGGAAGTCGACTAGGGACCCGGATCCTCGTTGCTATGCAACAGGGGGCGTCGTAACTAGGCAACGGGAGGCACGCTTTTCCTGGGAGCAGAGGAATCCCAGCGCTGCTTCGATTCCCGCCCAGGCGCGGCGGCGGCGACCAGGCTGGGGAATGAGGCCAGCGCTTAGCACCTCGTCCCCGACCCCCCACCCCACGACCCAGCCTCCTGCGGCTTCGCTCCTAGCCCTTTGGGGTACCCCGAACCCATGGGCCGCTCCAGATCCCTTGCCAGGGACGCCACCCAGCAAGGCTTGGCAGGGGACGCGCTGTTCGAAATAGCGCATACCACTGACACCCGGTCTTGCCGAGGCTGGGCCCTCGGGAGGGCGCCGTGCAGCTGGGACGCTTCCCCTTTGCCTGTCGCCAAACAGTTGCCGGGCAGCAGCTGTCAAGGGTTTAACGGGGGCTGCCCGCACCTGCCCAGACACTGACTTCATTCCCCTTAGTGGCAGCTTTGCCCCGTCTAGAAGCTTCCTTTTAATGCAGCTGTCCTCGGGTGGCCGCTGCATAGTTGGATCAACTTTAAAATAAGCCCCCTCTCCCAACTTCTCCATGGCTCTCCGTTGCTACCCTCATGGGTTCTTGGCGGGCTTCAGATATTCACTTAACAGACATGTAAGTTATCATTCTGTGCTAGGTGCTAGAGATTCCAAAAAAATTAGTTGTCAATTCTGACCGGGAGGTGCTCAAAGTCTAATAGGGGATGCAGGCATATAAACTGCTTAATTCTGCTACACTGTAATGAGTGGTATATTGGCAATTTGCGAACTGCAACATTTCTATAGGTATTTACAATATACAAAGATCTTACAGAAACGTGTTAACTCCTTGCAATAACTCTAAACCCTGCTTAACCCCATTTTACGTTTGAGAAGATTATACAATAGGCACAAGGTAGTGACTTCTAGTTTGTGGCAGAATTAAGCCTGGGATGAAAGTTGAGGGTCCTTTGTATACTGCTACACTTTCAGGGCTTTGCCTAGAATAGCCTTCCCTGTGCTGCTGATTATGGTTATGCATCAGAAACCCCCGGGAGCTCTGCAAACAAAAGCCTGGGCCCTCTCTGGGAGAGTATGAGAAAGTTGGTACCGGTTGGGGCAGACATCCTTGCTTTAAGAGGTCCACAGGTGGTTCTGATGAGAACCGCGGCTCCATTGGGGCCGCTCTGGGCAATTAGGGGGAAATGAGGGCCAGCAGAGGGCGCTAATGCCGCCCCTCGTGCGCACGCCACGTAGTGATTCTCGGAGAAAGGAAACTAACCAGAGGAAGGAGCCTTGACACAGGGGGTGTGTGGACCGCCCAACCCTGCCCTCTTGGCAAACCACGCCTAAACATATAGTGCCTCCTCCCTTCCATAGTTAAATGAAGCAGTTTCCCCAGCTCAGCCGGGTTCTCCTGGCCCTGCCTGAGCCTTATTGCAGCTGCCTGAACAGCAATGGTAGGTCTAGTTCCAAGGTTTTACTGTCCTCATACCTCTTGGTACAAAACGATGACCTGTAAGCCCAGCAGGTAGGTCATCTCCTGGTGTGTGGTCTCGTCCTGGGAGTCTGGATGTCCTCTCACTTTGAGCTTGTTGATATTTGGGAGAACTTTAAGCACCTTGAGCGCAGGGACTGTGTCTTACTGAGGCCGAGTAGGGGTGTGGAACGAGCAAAGGGGCAAGATTTAGACTTTAGGAGTGAAGTGCCAGTTCTGCTGTGTGAACTTGAAGAAGTCACTTGACCTTTCTCAGCCATAGTTTTCTGAGTAAAATGTGTGTGGAGAGTAGCAATCCCTCATAAAGTTGTCGTAATAGTTAAATGAGATGGTGGAATAAGCACTTTGTAAATTATAAAGCAACACACACAATGTATATGTGTACACACACAGTTCGCTGTTGTTGAGTGCCTACTATTTGTGTGAAGCTAGGCACTGCAGGAGGTGAAGATGCCTGACATACTTCCTCTCGGAGCTCGAGACTGCTTCTGCTCATGACAGCCATGGCTTCTATTTTTAAAACGTTTTTGGACTGAAGTGAAGAGGCACAATGGTGGTGGGTCGGATTTTTGCTGCCTGGGATTAACCTGGAAGCAAGGAGAAGGAATCCTGTTAACAACAATTTGAAGGAATGGACCAGCCAGTGATCTCAACTCTTATCTGCAAAGATTAGCTTTCCGGTGCACTTCGGAAGGTCAGCTGGCAAGGCAATGCCAGCCTCGGTGTGGACGGTTTATTTCAAGGTCCCCCAGCTCCCCTTGGCTGGGACAGGTGACCACTTGAAAGTGGAGGCTGATGCAGAATGCAGCACGCAGCCATGGGGGAGCAGCTCTCGTCACCTTGACCTTCTAGAATGGAGGAGGTGACATCCGATCCCTCCTGGTGGAGGTCCTTGGATATAGAATCCAACCCAAGATAGCAACCTTGCTCTTTAAGTCTCCGGTGTGGTTATGACCCAGATAGTCAGGAACTGACCTGTGCTGTCCTCATATCCGACCACTGGCAGGCAGGAACCATCTGGTTCTTGATTTGTGCCAGAAAGAGTAGAAGGCTACCCAGCCTGGGGTCGATCCCCATGAATTGCATGTTTTGCAGCCTTGCTTGATCCTACAGGTCTCAGGAGGGACTTAGAGCAGCTGTTTCCAGCCAGAAAGTGCCCCCAATGTGATATTTGATAAATAACCCTTACTTGGACCCTCCTCCTTCCCACTAAGCAAGAAGGGGAACATCCTCTCCTCCCTCTCCTCCCTCTCCTCCCTCTCCTCCCTCTCCTCCCTCTCCTCCCTCTCCTCCCTCTCCTCCCTCTCCTCAGCTCCAGTTTCTGGCCAACTCTCTGAGTGCCCTGGTAACTGCAAAAACTTCGTGCACCTGGCTGCTCCCACCTCAGGGGCGTGGCTTAGCCTCTGATCATCAAGTCTGAATCATGGGACCTCCCTGGAGCTACAGGTTCATTTCTGAGCCTGGAAGAGAACAAGGGATTCGCTGGGGCCGCTTGACATTTCTCAAGCATGGTGGCAAAGAGAGGCTGGGATTGAAAACATTTTTCTTGGCTGATCCTACCTACTTCAGTGAGTCAGCGCTTTGTTGGGTCTTAACTTGCCTATAGCATCATGAAGCAGAAACGATCAGAGCATGAAACACAATGTGATTAAGTGAATTGTCACCAGTAATGCCCGGAGATGATTGGTTGATGCCAACTTTAGTTTAGCTCATGAATGGTCTATTGTATGACTTTCTAAATCACTTCCAAGACTTAGCGTTGGAGACGATACAGCAAGGTTGTGAGTGCGAGGGGGCTGATGTCAGACGCACCTGGATTCAAATCCTGGTTTTCCCACTTATTTCTCATCCTGCTTAGACTCAGTTTCTTCATCAGTCCAATGGGGGATAATAACAATACCTACCTGATGGGTTGTTATGAGGATTAAAGGAGATAGATGGCACGTGATTAGCTTTTTATTAATAATATCTTTCCTTAAAGGTTGTGCTTGACCCTTTACTGGTGAGTCGGGTCCTTCTGTTTCAGTGAGTCTCAACTTTGCACAGTGGAATGGCCTAGGGAGCTTTTCAGGTCTAAGCCTAGGCCACATCCGGAGAGTGACAGCAGAAGCTCTGGGCTTGGGACGGCAGCATCAGTCTTTTGGGAAGCGCCCTGGTGATTCCAGCGAGCAGCCACAGTTGAGATTCACTGTATCACCTTCACTCCCAAAGAGTATGTGATTTGGGAGCGGAAGCTTGGGTTCAAATCCTGCCCTTTCTACTTAGCCCAGTGACCGTGGGCAAATGCTTAACTCCTATGTCTCAGTTTCTTCTCATCTGTACCAATGCTGGTGAAGAGGATAATATACCCACCTGCATGATTGTCCTGTAGAGCTAATGGCTCATGTGCAGTTACAGTCTCGTTTGAGCATGTAAACTGAGCTCTTTTCTTTACATTGTTATTCCTTGGTAATCTTATTTGTGTGCTATTTTTTAAGGTTTTTTTTTTTTTAATCCGCTTTCTCTTAAGTAGGTTATAACCTCTTTGGGGACAAAGCCTTATAGTCATAAATTTTTTTTTTTTTTTTTTTTAATGCCCATATCACCTAAGACACAGAGACAGGCTTTCAGATTTTCAGAACTGGAGTAAGCCTTAGAAAGATCGGTTCATGCGCCTTAAGGCAACGAGTAACACTTGCTGGTTAATTAATATACAAATGGCAAAGAATGTGAAAGAGGAACCCGTGAATCAGATGGTTGTGCCCAGCTTAAGTTGGAAGTCCCAGGGCTGCCTTCTCAGCTAACAGGGGAGGGGTGGAGGAGGCTGCGAGGGCCGGTCACACCTGGTACAGTGAGTTTCTATGTCAGTCCTGGCTCTCTGCTCACCCTGTGCTTCTCTCCCTACAGACCTAGCCATGGCAGGCTCAGGCAGCAGTTCACCAGGGGGCAAACATCTGTGCAAAGTCATCCTGATGATCCTAGTGGCCCTCCTCGTCCTCCACCCAGCATCGTCCCAGTCCGCTCGAGACTTCATGCATCCAGGCCAGCAGAAGAAGGAGGTCCCAGTCGACCTGTTGAACCACATAGGTCGATCTGTGCGGGAAACACTGGATTCCTGGATTGGGCCAGAGACCATGCACCTGGTTTCCGAGGTAAGGAAGGTGGCCCCTGCTATGACTGCACATACTGAGGACAGGTAAAGGAGGAGATGTTCGTGGCCACCCCATCTTGGCTCCACATCCTCCGTGTGCCATAATCCCTGGTGCGGAAAGCCCCAGATGTCACCAAATGAAGCCAGACAGGACCTGCCTCTGCACTCTCATTGTTTGACTCCTACCCTGGGGCCCTTGGCTCTACCTCCACCTTTCCCTTGTACCTGTCCTTTCTTGCCAGAAAGGCTGAGAAATGACCTTTCTTTACAAATCCGTGTCACTGGGTGACTATGGAGTCTGATTTTGGTCTAAATTTGACCTAAAGTCTTAAATCAGCAACATGTCAAGACCTGACTCGTTCCTTCACCTGCAGAGGTGGGGCTGACTCAGGGGCTTAAGACAGGGCTGTCTCTTCTACCTAATGGCATCCTAAACATGGTGTCGCATAGGTAGTACTAAACGGCTGAGACGATCATTTATAAAATCAATAATATAGTAGAATCAATTGACTCCTTTTTCATGAAGTATCCTAGCTCTTTACTTCTGTTACCTCACACACCTCCAGAATTCCCTGGGAGGCTAGGAGGACCCCAATTTTACAGGGTGAATGCAACAGGGATTAGATGATTCCCCCTCCCACATACACCTACTACCACCAGCAAAGTATTCCAGAAAAATCAATTAAATTAGGGCCCAGATGTCCTGGGTTGCAGTTCAGGAAGGAGCAATGGCCTGCTGGCCATCTCTGTGCCCTGGAAGGCAGCCGCGGAAGGAACCCCTCAGCCAGGCCTGGATAGGCCAACCTCTGGCTGAGAAGCGGGTAGGGGGTATTCCTGATGGGCCTGGGCAGTGGTGCTGAGGCTCGGGGGAGAGCGTCATTGATTATGCACTCATCTCAGCCCTGCTGTTTCCACAGACCTTGTCTCAGGTGATGTGGGCCATCTCCTCAGCCATCTCTGTGGCCTTCTTCGCTCTGTCTGGGATCGGGGCGCAGCTGCTGAATGCCTTGGGGCTAGATGGTGAGTGGCAGAGAACGCCTTAGATTGGCTACTGCTTAGCCTGTCATTTCCTGTTTGTGGGAGTTTATCTTTTCAGAGTCTAGACTTTTCCCCCACCTAGTCAACACCCCTCCGCCCAGGTCTCCCCAGAGGCCAGCGTGAGAGCAGGCCAATAACTACCACCACCACCTACCAGGCATTTGCTTCGTGTCAGAAGCATCACACTAAGCCCTAGTATTGCATTTAACTGTGACCTGCAGCCCAGAAAACTACTCCCATTTCATAGATGAAATAGGCTCACCCAAGGGAGTAATCTACCCATGGCAAATAAGAACCGGAGCTGAGAGTCAAGCTCATGTCTCTGTGACCCTGTGGGAAAGGAGTTTTCCTTTGCAAATCGGTTTAACTCCTCTCCCATCTTTGGTTCTCCCTGCCCCCCGCCCCCCCATCCCCCTGCCACTCCAGGTTGGCCGATTCTGTGACTCTCCCCCTTTCAGGTGATCATCTCACTCAGGGCCTGAAGCTCAGCCCCAGCCAGGTCCAGACCTTCCTGCTGTGGGGAACGGCGGCCCTGGTCATCTATTGGATTCTGTCCCTGCTCCTCGGTTTGGTCTTGGCCTTGCTGGGGCGGATCCTGTGGGGCCTGAAGCTTGTCCTCTTCCTGGCTGGCTTCGTGGCACTGGTGAGGTCGGTGCCCGACCCTTCCATGCGGGCCTTGCTCCTCCTGGGCCTGCTGACCCTCTACGCCTTGTTGAGCCGGCTCACTGGCAGCCGGGCCTCGGGGGCCCAGCTGGAGGCCAAGGTGCGTGTGCTGGAGCGCCAGGTGGAAGAGATGCGCTGGCGGCAGAGGCGGGCGGCGAAGGGGCCCCGGAGCGTGGGGGAGGAGTGAGAAGGACGCCGGACGATGCCTTCGTACCAAAGAGCTGAGCTGCTTCTGGGTCGCTGGCCCTCCTGCCAGCCCCCTGTCCCCTCTCCTCCCCTGTCTCTGAACCCTCAGAACCTAATGTCTGCACCAGACCCCCCAGCTGAGAGGGAGGGAGACCATTCCCCCTGCTGGCCCTCTGTCTGGGGTCGCATCTCTTAACCCTTTCTTTGCTCCCAGCCATGGCAGCTTGGAGGGGCCTGTCCCCCAGCTGCTGCTTCTGCTCTCAGCGAACATCACTGCCATTTGCCTCCCCTGACTCTGCTACACCTTGCCTTCCTCGCGATGCTCTGGCTCTCCTGTCCTTCTCTCGCTCGTCTTTTGTCAAATCCCCAGCTCCCTTCCTGAGTGTCTCCCTCCAGCCCTGTGCTCCAACCGAACCATGCACCATCGTCCCTCAAGGCCCACTCCTCTCCCCATCATTGCCCAGCATGGGAAGAGGCGGGGCATATGGGACCTGCGGGGAAGGGAAGTGGGAAAGCTCCCCCATGGGGCTGGAGGCCAGATGTCCGTTAAGTCTGTTACAAGTGCCTTAATCCGAACAAGCGGGTCCTCTGCTCACCCGCTGCTGTGCTGTACTGTGTGCACCGTGGCTGCTTTGTGTCAAGAAGAGAGCGGTACCTCTCTGGATCTCGATTCCCCTTCGGCCAAAGCAAAAGATGACTGCTTCGTAGGCTTGTGCTTGCAAGCAGGACCCTGCAGTGGCCTTGGCTCCCCCGTGGGGATTTCGGAGACCCCGAGAAGGAAAGACGACTCATCTCCTTGTCTGCGCAGCCCCGGGTGGGTCTCCATCTCTCTCTCTCTCCACTCACTGCCGCCAAGGAGTTGCTGATCCGGAAGATCACAGAGGTGGCACCACAGCCCCTTCCCTTCACACGGTCTGTGGGGAGGAGGGGGAGTCTGCTGACCCCTCCACCAGGGCTCTGTGAGGCTGTGGTGGAGGCCAGTGTCCTCCCCCGCCAGGCCCAGCCCGTGACGTGAAGAGCGAATAAATGCCCAGTTCTTAGCTGTTAAGGTTCGATGTGCAATCACCGCTGCAGTGATCTATATTTTTATCGGCGCTTGGTTGGTTTTAAATAAAGTGCACGCTATTTTATTATCTGGTTCCGTATAAAATGTATTTACTCAAAGTCTGGATTGTTTGGATTTCTCCCTCTACAGCTGAACCCAATTCTATAGCGCCCTCAGCTTTCCTGATTTCTCCCAGCAGGGGCGGTGTGAAGCCGGCCGAAAGAGAAAGGGCGGGAGGAGAGGGGGCAGGAAGGAAGGCTGGTACCAGGTACCCTTCCTTCCAGGAGTGGGAGGAATGAAGAAGGCATGGCCCCATTACTTCCAGGAACCAGCTGACACCCCCACAGCCACGTGCGCGTCTCAAAGCCTGGCCCGCAGCCGGGGAGACTTGCCTGCCCTCCCTTCTTCCCCGAGCAGATAGGTGTTTCCCAACCCCGCAGGTAGATTGGATCTGTTTTGCGGAGGGGCCTGAGCGTGTTTTTTGTTTTTCTTGTTTATTTTTTGTTTTTTGGGTTTTTTTTTAAGCTGCCCTGGAGATGCTAGTGTTCAGCTAGACGCCCCTCTTTGGAACCCCTTCCAACACTGCCTGGCAAGCCAGGCGGGGTCAGGAAGCTGACACTGGAAGGCAGGCCTTCCCTGGGGAGCAGAGGCATGCCCTCATCCTCCCTAGGCCCAGGGCCCTCTCTCTGGGATGGGACTGGGCATGAACTGCTGCCTGCACCTGGAGCCCTTCCTTCACGGGAGTGGCCCAGGCTGCTGTCAGGGCAGGCTCTGGTAGCTGTCACCTGACTCTTTGGCCCCCTTTTACCCCCTTTCCACCCCTGCAGTTTGGTCCCCCTTCGTCCCTGAATTTTGGTTCTGATTCAGGTGTCAGATGCCTTTACAGATGATCTGCTTGTGGGGCGGGGGAAAGGCAGAGGAAGTGGCTTTTTCCTCCTGGGTCAGGAGCTTCCAAGAGGGAGCGAACAGAACGTGTCCAGTCCCTCTTGTCAGAGACGGGCCAGGCCCCTGTTGTTCGGTCGGCAGGGAAGTGGCTTTCTTCCCAAC